GGTCCACAATGTGGTGCCTGGTCGATGCTGCACTGACAGTGTTTTTGCTGGAGCAGGAAACCGATGCCCGTCTTACTCCAGTCCGTGGAGAGACAGGTCGGGCGATGCGGCTCAAACGACCGGACACCGTCTTCCACGCATTGGACGACTGCATCCTTGGAGTGCTGGAATAGCTGATCCAGAGTGTCGTCCCAGTAGAACTTGCACCCAGTCTTGGTTTTCAGCAGTTCTCTGAAAGGCGCCATCACTTTGGATTGCGCGAATGCGTATGACACTTGGTTGACAAGGCCGAACCAGCTTCGGATTCCCGTGGTATTGGTCGGGGTCGGGAAGTCACGAATCGCGCTCAGGAGGCGTTCAGTAGGCTTGTAGCCTCCAAGTGTAATCGTGAATCCCGCAAAATCTACGGTATCTGCTCCAAAAATAAACTTAGACGGGTTGAATACCACCCCGTTGTCGCCACAGAGGGTGATGTATTGAACTGTGTGCCAAAACGAATCTTCAAGCGACCGGTCCCAAAGGAGGGAGTCGTCTACGCATCTTTTCAGCCGCTCCACATCCGCTGTTAAGTCATCCATGCGGCGAGTGTACGCGTCCCCGGACGCGTGAAATCCTTGGGGAGCACGCTTGTATCGGTACCTTCCGAACTCTGTAATGAAGGTGGTGGCGTCCCGTGCCTGTTCGGCGAGAGGCAGGCTATGGTATCCATTCCAAGCATCCAGCACCGTCTTCTTCGTTCCAGGCGGTACGTCTGATACCAGGTTGAACGGCGTGGGCGTGTGATGTGTCTCCCGTAGGGTAGCTTCGTTTACGCTTGTGAGGTTGACTGTTCGGCGGGGAGATCCATCCTTCTTTGGGGCCACAACCATTCTTGAGCACCAGCGGGTGGGTGTGCCTGGCGGAACGGGTTCTATGATACCGAGACGGACATCACGGTCGAGATCTGCCTTCACTTGTTTCTTCCAATGATGCGGTATCGGGATAGGTGTGTGTACCGCGGTGGGAGCAGCATCAGGCGTAAAATGTATCTCAACTGGTGGTCCCGACATCTCCTGCAGTGGCTGGTGCTCACAGGTATTGAACGCGCTGCTTGCGTAGCGAATCTTGATCCACTGTTCGATTTTGTCTCTGTTGGCCTCCGTCGCCGGGTATGGTATTTTGTCCGGGGGCGGCGGCACCGCCGATCTCTCCAGACACCCGCATGGGGCTCTTTTCTGTCCGAGTGTTGCGCTGGTTGTGTCTTTTACGTGAGAGGCAGTCTCCGAGGCGGCAGGCTCGGAGGATGAAGGAGCGGGGAAACTTTGAGACACCACTCCTAGGTCCTTGAGTGCCCTCTCTGACAGGTAAATGCCCCTCGTGTTACGAGAGACATATACTACCTGTTTGGTGGCTCTGCCGTTGACTTCAATGCGCAGGAGTAGTGAGCCAAGCACGTCTAGATTCATGCCCGTTACCCCGTGGATGCGGTGAGATGTCTTGAGGAGGTATCTCTCAGGGCAGTGGAGCAGTTTGAGGAGTTCTGGGCCGCTCGAGCATGTCATCGCCCCTGTGTCTGCACACGCTGTGGTGCGCGCTCCGTTTGGCACTCTAGCGTGCTCTCGTGTGGTCAGACGTTTGCCCAGTTTGGCGTGAGAGTCATGCAGGATTGTTACCGTGATTGGTAGGTTTGGATGCGACTTCGGCTGCGCTGGTGTGAACTCGTTGCCGTTCCATTCCATGTGAGGAATTGTGTTACCTGCGCTGGCGTCATGCGCCGCAGAGCAACTGTCCGTGGTGGCCGTAGCGGTGCTGCCCGTTTCGGGAGAGCTGCTGATTGTGGCTTGGTCGGCTGATGCGTCTGTATGCACGGATGCGTCTGATGCGAATACATCATCTGCCGACTCACTGCTGATCTGAGTTTGGCGTCCGCTTCGGCAAGCAGAAGAAAAGTGATTAAGCTTGTTGCAGCGACCGCATATTTTTCCACGCGCCGGACAAACCGGGTCCTGGAAACGCGGGTTGTTTGTCTTGTGACGGTCACCACACCACTTGCAGTGCATGACTTTCGGACCCCGGCGACTGTCGCCGTCGGGCGGTTTGGTGACGGAGCGCCGCTGCTGGCGCTGATATTGAGAGACGTGAGCCGCTATGAGATCTGAGCTGACTGCCGGAGCTTGTCTGTCTGTCGCAGAATGTAGTTTTCTTTCGCTGTTCTCGGCCGCCTGCATAGATTGCAGCGCCCGGAACTTCGCATCAAAGCCCGGATAACGGTCCACAGCTGACAGTATCTCATTTTGATGACGCTGGTTATAGAGTCCTACAACAAGCTGAGTCTGCAGAACGTCGTTTTCGTAGCTCAGTGGTCCAGGCTCCTGGCTGTCAGCATGAGGACGGTGGGCATTGACATAGAACTCGCATAGAGCGGCCTTAGATCGCAGTCTGGCTACGAACTGTGTTATGTCCTCGCCCTCGAATTGCCGCATCTCATGGAACTGTCGACGATGCACCGCCGTATGAAGTGCCTGGACGGCCACAGACTTGATGTGCGTCAACAACTCTTCCTCACTGTCATTCATCAGACTGGGACCGCGCAGCTGAAAGAGTCGTTTTTCCAGCTCGGAGCTGCAGGCCGAGAGCAGTTCCTGTGTCATGCAGTTGTCTGCTAGACCAGCTGCGCTCTTATAGCGGTCCCACTGAAACTTGAACAGGCGCCAATCTTCATCGGTGGCGTCCAGTCCTATCTGAGGACGTGGTATGCTAGATTTCGCTGGACCTTGTCCCCGAGTCAGTAGCGCTTGGAACTGCGCGTCAGTTAAAGTGATCAAGGTGGGAGCATTAGCCATGATTATTCAAGTTTCAACTTTACCTGTTAATCTACCGACCGCGCCATGTAGGATACTGGGCCGGAAAGGCCTGCGAGGGATATAAACGTATTTAGTATTTAGATAATACTTGTAAACACGTTAGATGCATGTTGATCACTGGCCTGTATTCATCCGTCATCTCATAGCAATTTGATAACACGCACGTGCTGACGACATAACGAATCCTTCACTAACGTCAACGGTTTTGCCTGCAGGGGGCAAAAACTGCAAAAATAGCCGATTTTTTCGGAAACAGTTTTTCTGCAATAACTTTTGACCCAAGCCTTGTACGAGCTTACTTTTACCGGCATCGTGTTCCTCTCGTCAAGACGCATCGAATGAACTATAACTTGACCTTGAAAGGTCAACTTGAAAATTTGACCTCAGGTCAAGGTCATGACTTGACCGGAAAGGGTCATGTTGCATATCAGTCGATCCGTATCGTCGAGCTGAACACATCTAAGGCGTTTTCATCGCTCTAGCATGCCTCTATCAAAAGTTATTTGCGAAAAACTGTTAGATACCATTCGTGACCTAAGATGACCTCAGGGCATAAACAGGGGTCACGGACACCATTTTCATGTTCAGTGTGACTAAACCACTTGTAATTCAGTGTTTGGGAGTGTTTATAATGTCTTTCGTCCAAAAGAGGCGCATTTCAATTTTCTCCCATTGACTTATAATGGGGAGGTCGCAAAATTGACCTGACCTTAGGTCATCGATATCAAAATTCTGAGATATACATTTTGTACATGCTATTGCTCTTAGCAATCGCTGAAAGTTTCAAAGCGATCGGTCACTCGGTGTAGCTATGACAGACATTGAAACTTTTTATGAGGTGAGGTCACTTCAAGTGACCTGGTGACCTGACCTTGAATGACCTTGGTCTGAAATTTTCACAACATGTGTAGAATTGATGTATGATAAGGTGTACCAAAAATGGCGGAGCGCCGCCGTTTTTGAGATATTCGCGAAAAACCACAAGGGGGGGGGGTGTTCAAACACCCCCCCCCCCCCCCAGCAGGGCGCGGGTTAACAACTGGTCAGGACTAGCTACAAAACATCAATGCACTTTTCACCCCTATCGTCAACAAAAAAAGGAATTTGGGACCTTTGGAATGAAAAGGATGCCAAAACTTACAAAAAGGCAGAGCAAATCGCTGCAAGTTAGCCAAAATCATATTACATTGGACACAAAAGTGAACTGAAACACATTTTGTGGTCTTACGAATATCCAATTGAGGTATTCTGCCCTTTGCACCGCCAAAAGAAGTCTTGTTTGGACGTCAGATGGCGACAACGCTACAACAGCGGAGACGGCCAGACACCCATCGAAAATTAAAGTGTGAGACATTTTGAGCCATAGTTCACTCATTCAGCTTCATGTGATGCTCCAAACATGACTGTTACAAGAGAGTACCACTGGTCACATTCTAGCATTACAAAAACTGGCTGCCGTCAACCGAATGGCCATGAACGGGTTCGTTCTGGAAACCAAATCTGCTGGAAGCCAAAGGTCGCGCCATGTTCAGGCATGGAGGTTCTCTATTTCCGATGCCAAAAACAACGTTACAGTGGTGTGGGCAGAATTTTTCGTTTTGGGGGAGAATGCCTTATTACCTGGAACGGTTTGGATGTAAATTTAATTGAAAATATATGCAGTATCTTCCGGCAAAAGGTCAATGGAAACCGGCCTACAACCATTTTCGGGAGACCCGTAAAACAACTGAAACCAGCATGGGGTTTCATTTATCCGCAATTGCCGACTAATCTTGTAAAGAACGCGTCTATTGCATACCTATGTCATTTTGTTGCAGGCCTAGTTGACTATATTGAACGACAAGCATACTAATGTGCAAATCATTTTTTCCTCATCTTATACGCTGATAAACAGTGTTCGGTCAATTCTGGGACACCCTGTAGTCCAGCCAGGACATTAATGATGAGAAGGCAAGCCTGACCTTCACGGCGCATTATATGGCACATGACTTGGAAATGGATGATACCGAGTGGCCGGTGGCGTATCGCTGTGACCTGTACAGTGTACGTCTGTAGTAAGTATTTAGTAGGGGAGGGGGACGGCCGGCGGCGTACCACTGTGACCTGTGCGCCTGCAATGCGGAGTAGTGGGGGAGGTAGGGACGGTTGGCGGCGTACCTTGGCCTGGGCGTCCGTGGTGCGGTGGAAGACGGGACAGGCGATGCGGCTGAAGTGTCGCTCGTAGAGGCCGCTCAGGTGTCCCCTGCTGTCACAGCCCGGCACCGGGCACGAGCCCTCGCCCATGGTGGGCGGCCGCTGCGGCGGCGGCTGATCGGCGGCCGGCCGCGGCGGCGCCGGCCCGCTGCCCCCCAGACGCTTCTTCTTGCGCGGGCCCTTGGTGCCCTGCTGACTGTCCGCTGTGGGACGGGGCGGGGCGGGGCGGGGCGGCGGGATAGCTCACAAATCTCAGCACATCACAGCTGCTGCAAACCGGCCACATTCGCACTGCTCAGTCGTTCTATTATGTGCAGTTCTAAATGGAGGCATTTATTGGCATGATTATGTGGATACTTGGCAGCTGCCTGTGAGTAGCTGCCATGTTTAATCTCAGCAGCACGGGCTATGTGCCACACTGATCCCACCTCGACCAAATGCCCCGTGCCGGGCAGGCGGTAGTCCGCAGTATACCCACCACTCCCGTCCCCGACTCCGAGCAGGTGTTGTAGATGGCTCTGCGGCCCGCTCCCCTAGTCCGGCGGCCGGCAGCAGGCAGTCCCTACTCACCGGTCTCCGACTCCGAGTCGGTGTTGTAGATGGTGCTCCGTTTCAGCTGGGAGCGCGAGGGCCGGGTGCTGCGCGTGCGCCGCCGGACCGCCTCGCTGTCCGAGGAGCCCGCCGCCGGCGTGGCCGAGCTGGCGGCGGCGGGCCGCGCAGGGGCCGCCGCCGCCGGCAGCCGGGTGGACGGCGCGGCACCGCCATCGGGCTCCTCGGCCGCCGACGACGAGCCGCTGTCGGCGCCTGGGGAGCACAGCGCCGTCGGATATCAACAGCACCGTCAGATATCGGCACTGAGAAACACCGGACCGTCAGATATCAGCAATGAGAAACACCGCACCGTCAGATCTCATATATCAGCAGTGAGAAACACCGGACCGTCAGATATCAGCACTGACAAACACAGCACCGTCAGATATCAGCACCGAGAAACACCGGACCGTCAGATATCAGCACCGTTGCCGAGAAACACCGGATTGTCGGAATTATCAGCACCATCACTGAGGAACACCGGACTGTGCGATGTTAGCACTAAGGAGCCGTCAGATATCGGGGGAGGCGTGCGGCGTTCCAGCACGTCAATTCACCGCTGGTTGACGAAACATGCACTTCACGCAACTTAGTGCTGCCCACTTCAAATAGTACGAAAATGGAATCGGTATCTAGTATCTACTTCCAGCAGAACCTCACAGCACTCAATGAATATCCAAACATAATTGGAGAGCCCTCAGCAATCAGTCCCGGTAGGCTCAACACACCACAGCCGCGCGGCTCCGCAGCGTCTCGCCGCCACCCACCTGAGCAGGCCCTGGAGGACGACAGGGACGAGTTTTTGGCCGGCCCGTTGGGTTTGCGGCCGGCCTTCTTGGGCGGCGCCTTGGCGGCCGGCTTGCTGGTCGTCTCTGCCTCGCTGGCGCTGCTCTCGTCCGGGCTGAAGATGCTCTTCTTGGCTGCCTTGGAGTCGGCGGCCGCCCGGCGCACCGGACTCTTGGGCGGCCCGCGGGCGGCGGACGCCGAGGTGGCGGAGCGTCCCGCAGCTGACCCGGTCGTGGAGCTGGCCTTCCGGCTGGCAGACTTGGACTGCGCCTCTGACCTGTCCGCGCCAGAACCGCCACAGGTCAGCCACGGAAGCGGAAGGGTCGGACGACGTGAAGGACCGGGAGAGATGAGGTCAGGGGAGTGACTAAATGAGCCAGGAGAGCTGGGGGCGGGGAGCAATGAAGCAAACAAGGGCGATGAATTCAAGTGCTTACGATTTTATCCAAAGACACCAAGATGTAAAGCTGCACTGCTCTGAAGGTTAGGACAGGAGCACAAGCATAGCTGGGTGACCACACGGATTAACGAAAACGGCCACGTTGGCAACTGTTCCTGAAAACGCAGCAAATGCAGGTGCCAGGCAGCCTTAATGAGCATCACTTCAATAACCTATGTATGTAGTAGACGTAGGGAATCCAATCTGTTTTGGTAGGAGTCGGACAAACTCCCATTGACCCAGTGAGCACGGCCGCACGCACCTGGTGGGTTTAGCCGGCGCGGAGCCGCCCGACGATTTGCGCCGTTCCGGCTGCGGTTTGGGACTTTTGCCGGGCGAGCGGCGGGTGGACCGCTGCGACCCGGCCGACTGCTCCGTGTCGGACGAGGACGAGTCGGACGAGCTGCCGGAGCTGTCCGAGCTGGAGCTGGAGCTGGACGAGCTGCTGGACGACATGGCGGCACCTGGGACAGACCTGGGGAGGGAGAGCGAGCGTTGAGACAAGAAGAAAGGGATAAGACAGACAGGAAGAGAGAATATGACAGTGGTGTCATTCATAAATAATTCCAATAATTATAAATGGGGTCATCTTTGCAATATCAAAGCCTGCCCTAGGGGGAGGGGGACCACAAAGTAAAATAGTTTCAACTTCCAACAATATCTTGTTGGTGCTGGGTCTTTCATTTGCATATTTTCTGAGGGGTACTGCTTGCATTCTGTGCTATTGTGAGGGCTGACCACCATGCAGCACATCTGTTTCATGAAACCATGCATATTGCAGGCCACAGTGGCCAATAATCGTGCAAACTCCTGATGCCTCCTTACCTAGTGCAGTGGAGGCATGACAACACCCCAGCTACATACTAGGAGACATGATAAGGCCAACCTGTGATCATGTTGTCTTTCACCACAAACTAAGTGTTTGACCAAACCTGAAATCCAAATTTTGTGGCATGCATTTAGTAGTGAAAATAAGTGGGGCCTGGTGGATGGAAGTTCCAGCCAGGCTGGTGTAGATTCATCACTCTGGCAGCCTGGCTGAACCACCTCATCAATTCTTCAGCTATACTTTTCCATCCAAACCAGGGGATCAGACATGAGATGATATGACAGGCCAGATGGAGGCAAGTTGATTTTAACTTAGTTCCTACTACCTACCTTACCTACCTAACCTAACCTACCTACCTACCTAGCTCCCAGAGTTGGGGCAGAGGCACAGGTAGTCCACCAATTGCTGCATGGTGCAGTTTTACTGTGGTTTGTGGCAGATTTTGCTTGGAACTCTGTGGAACACCACATAGCACTGTAATGAACTGTTGTAATAGCCAAAATTAATAAAACAGTAGGTTACCTACCTAAACAGGAAACAAAAAGAGGCAGGCCACAGACCTATCAAACTTTCATTTAAGCATTTACATTTTGTGGTGAAAGAATCTACACATTTTTCAATATGGGCTGTTGTGGATTTCCAGTCTAGTTGCTGCAGGCCGTTGCAGATTTATCACCAAGCAGGTCAGCTGAGGGATGTTCACTGGCACCATTAACTGCTGAGCGTGGTGTGTGCACTGTGCAGGGTGTGCAGCAGGCCTGGGAGCAGGGGATAGGTAGTCAGTATGACATCACACAGCTGTGTGTGGTGGACCGTACACAGCCATCTCCGTGGCCGGTCTCAAGCGACCACTGCGGTCCGTGTGCGGTGACGGAAGGCTGACATAGGGACGCCATGGGAGGAGCTTGGAGCCAGTGTATGGTCCTACCGCACACAGGGCCCGTGAACAGCCCTCTGGTGCAGCTCTGGGCTTGTCAACTCGTTGCCGCGCTCTGCAGTCTGGCCTGGCCTAGCCTCCGGCATCCTTGCCAGTTCAAGTTGCCGCCAGGTCAAGATCTGCCATCATCTGTTACCAGTTGTTTATGTCGCAAAGTGATGCTTACAACTTATGGTAAAACTTCAGTTTTTTTTCATAATAAAGAAACACAATTCTGATTCCCTCTCACCTCCAATTCGAGTTACCTATTTCAAAAAACGTGTAGCAGTAGTAAGACGTGATGCTGTTTCAAAACATTTGGCGATGACCTACTATGTTCGAAAACATCATTTGCTGTATGATATGTGAACGAACTCGAAAAACTCAACGATAACTCGTGCTGAGCGTCAGTTGAAAACAGCTCATCGATTTGTTTTGAACAGATTTTAAAAGGTGTTGCATAAATGATTTTGGTGCAAACGAAAAGTTGCGCTTTACCTAGCAGTTGTAATGCTAACTATGGGCTAACAAATTCCTATACTGATTTTTGCTTAGTTTTCGATTTTCAAATATAAAATAAATTTCACTGTAAAATTTTTAAGGAATTCATAATTTTTCAAACTGATGCTCGATAATTTTAAAAACGTTGAAACAAACAAAGCTTTGCTGTCATAAATTGTTCTTGGCAAAAGTTAAGGGAAATCTTCTGTGCTCTCAAATATTGCGCGAAGGGGACAAAATGAAATTTCCACCAAGTTTTCATTGATATCAAGCCGTACGAGAGCTGTTACCGTTTCCGATCTCTTTCCAGGTAATGTAGCCGATCGCCGATCATTTTCTCAAGATTTAAAACAAAGCAAAGCTCTTAGCTTGGATCTGAGGTGGAGGATCGCACCGCATTTGATTTCTTCATTCGTCATCTCTGCATCTCAGTGGTGGTTGCAAATACTCCGTTGGGTGAGTTTCTAGGAGAAGTGAAGGAAGAAACCCTTCATATTGAAATTCTTATGTATTTACTGAGAACCTTTGCAATGCAAGACTGTTGAGTATAGCAGTTTCAGCGTCATGTTGTTCATGAAGGCTCACTGATTCAGTGCATGTGGTGTGGAATCAACTAGATGGTGGCGTAACACAGATTTTGAGGTGTCAGAGTCTATCAATGAGCTGATTTTATGTACCAAATTTAGTAACTACCTACTTATGATTTCATATCATATCTAGCTGATTATAGTCAGTAAAACAGTACACCAGTAGACATTTGAAGCAGGAATGGTTACAAAAACAGCACAGTTCCTAAATGTAATGGATGTGGGTTATGCAGTGCTACTTTTTAAGGATTTTTGGTGAAGTTTGCTGGCTAAGCTTGTCTAGTATCATCTTTGGGTGCCCACAATGAAGGCCTCTTTTCAACAATATAGGAATTTAATGGCATTCATAAAAAGTGTGATGGTTATGCTATGTCACCACCTTCAGCCCTAGTGCAGGACTGAACAAGACACTGTGTTTTATGGGAAAGTCAGTGGTGTCAAGCAGTGGCCAACCAGCTATTTTGCTTTATAGCAGGCTGCAGGTATGTACATACTCTGAAATTATGTAACATGTAGTGCAAGTATGAGGGCTGGATGAAAACTCCTACATATTCCCATTGGTTCCTTATGGCTGGAGTTGGCTTCCCCATGTACAATTTCATGGAAATGTCACCTTACTCAGTTATTTGGCAAGTGCAACTAAGGAGTTCCTTGTTTATTGTTTGTTTGTTTATTGAATAATCACCAACGGGCTTGCACCCAATGACAGGTGAAGTCGGACAGTAAAATTCTAAAAACATAAAAGAACACACGACACTGACACACCAGACACCCTGACACTCACATGCACGTAAATCCTACCATTCAGAGGAGCTATGTGCATAGCGCACCACCCTATTTCTGAAACCAGCTGTACCCTCCGTCCATATATCAACATCTGCGTTGCTCCGCAGGAATGCGTTGCATCGGCTGGGAGCACGACTAAAAATGCCATTTTTGACAGTGTTTGTCCTGCCAAAAGGAACTAAAAAGACATTGGTGTTCCGAAACGATCTAGCGGGCACTAAAATAGGCATATGTTCTAAGAGAAAGGGCGAGTTGATGACATGCTGATGGACATTCCGAATAAATAAAATGTCATGCTGTGCACGACGAGCCGCTAGAGTCCCTACTTTGAAAGCACGTAAGAGATCATTATATTCCAGTGAGGCGTCCGCCACGCGACAACGACTACTCAGCCACATCAAGAACTTGTGCTGAACGCGTTCGATCCTTTTTAGATGGGTATCAGCCGCTCCATTCCAAACAATGCTACAATATTCTGAAATTGATCGCACGTTGGCATTAAAAGAGCACATCACAGCCGCAGTATCACATTCTTGTAACGAGCGGCCACGCTTCCCTGTCTGAAAGGTTCTCGTTAGCAGTCCCAGAGCCCTATTGGCCTTTCGCACTGTTGCGTCGACATGATTGGCGAAAGTAAGTTTTTCGTCCAACAGCACACCTAAGTCTCGCATAACAGACACTCTCTCTAGCACCGTTCCTCCAATAGTAAACTCTCCAACAATAGGGTTACGACGCAACGAGAGAGTCAAGACTTTACATTTCGCAGCGTTCAGGCTGAGACCCCATCTTGTTGACCATCTGCATAGGCTGTCCAACTGATGTTGGAGTTGGTCAACATCTTGTGTTTTATCAATCCTGCAGTACATTTTGACATCATCCGCAAACATCAATGAGTTTGTCTCCAGGGTGAGCGGCAGATCGTTAATAAAGCAAATGAACAGCAACGGCGACAAAATTCCGCCTTCAGGAGTGCCCGACCTCACATCAGTCCATCCCGAGCATTTGCCCTTCACAACTACCCGCTGTCTCCTGCCAGACAGATACGACTTGAACCAGGGGAGAGCTTTATCAGAAACATGGGATGAGTTTTTGAGCTTGTGAAGAAGGAATATATGATTAACACTTTGGAAAGCCGAACTGTAATCAGTGTAAATCACATCGGTCTGGGATCCAGCGGATATGTTGCTCCAGGCTTCATGCAACATCGTACACAGGTTGGAGGCACATGATCTTCCTGGCATGAAACCGTGCTGCCTATCAGAGATGACAGGTAAAACATGATCGCGCATGGTATTAAAAACAACACGTTCTAAAACCTTGCTAAAAATGGGCATCAGTGACACTGAGCGATAGTTTGACGGTAAACTTCTCGAGCCTTTCTTGTGTATGGGGACAATATTCGCACGCTTCCAGAGGTCAGGAACGATACCTTGATCAAAAGACATATTACAGAGCTTTGTGATAGGCACAGCGAGTTCACCAGCACACTCCCTGATAATGCGCCCACTGATGTCAGGGCCACATGCCTTATGCCGATCAACATTATTGAGTATTTCTCGGACACTTTCCATCGACACATGGAACGAGCACAATGGGTCCAGGTGGTAGTCAGGGGCAGGCGGCGGCTCATGGTCAACTGCATCACAGAACTTTGCAGCAAAAGCTCGATTCAAAAGCTCAGCCTTGTCTCTGTCGTCTATGATCTTCTTGCCTGTTTGCTGGATGGGGGCTGTATTGCCTGATTTCATCTCTCAGGCTGCTGCAGCATAAGTCATGCACTTACTGTGAAATGATGCTTGACAGCAACAACCAGCAGTGACAATAGCTGGTCAAATGAACTAGCATGCCAATATCATTGCAAAATAGATTAGCATGACAAAAGCATGAGGTCAGATATTGTTTACTCAATTAGCTGGGTTCATATTTACATGGACAAAATGGTGAAATAGCCATAATGCATATAACCACATAAGTAGGTATATGTGAAAGTGGGTAATCACATTTACCCAACCAAACACAATCTTTCAACCAGAATCAATGGATAATTGAACACACGTTGACATATTCCTTTGCATTATTGCTCTTATTCAAAGGCTTTGATCAATTGGAGCAGGTATCACAAATGTACCAGAGGAAGCTACCAAGGACGAGGACAATATTGTGTGAGATCGACCCTGTCCTGGAGGTGATATCATTTTAAGCATAAAAAGGCTTAATGTCAGGAATAACATAGCAAAAAACAAACAAAAATACAGCCTTATCCCGCCTAAGTGAATAATCCCTACCATTACCTAATCTTTTTCTGATTTATGAACAATGAGTTCTTACAAAATTGAAGGTTGAAGGAGGAAAATAAGACAGCCAATGGGACTTATGATCTCAATGCCATGTAATATTATCATGGCTGCACTCTGAAACACAAATCATTATCATAATGAATGTAATTTCAGTCCGAATTAACATGTTGTGGCGATGGGCCCTGCGGCTGTGGACGAGTCTGAGACAGTGCTCAGCGCTGGGACGTCATGCAGCGGAGCTGGCGGGGTCACAGGTCCGCGTCTGCCTGCCTCCAGAGCGCCGCCGCTGTCGCCGCCGCCGCCGCCGCGCGCGCGCGCCGCCGGCTGACCGCTGCTCGTCTGTTGTAGGTGGCGCTCGGGTCACCATGGCCACGGGCAACCCTCGCAACAAGGTGGCCCTGGCGCCGGGCCGATCGCTCATGGACTGGATCCGGCTCACCAACAGCGGTGTCGACCTGACGGGCGTGGGCGGCCGGCGGCGAGAGGTCACCAAGGACGAGCTGGCGCGCCACAGCCGTCCCGGCGACCTGTGGATGGCGCTGCGCGGCCAGGTGTATAACGTGACCCGCTACGTGGAGTACCACCCGGGCGGCGCCGACGAACTGATGCGCGCCGCCGGCGCCGACGGCACCGAGCTCTTCGACTCGGTGCACCGCTGGGTCAACTACGAGGGCATGCTCAGCAAGTGTCTGGTGGGCAAGTACGTCGGCGAACAGTCGTTGGCCAAGTCGCTGATCCGCAAGGCGCTGGGTGTGGGCGGCGGCGGCGGCGGCGGCAGTAGCGGCAACTCGCTGGCGCCTCCCCCCGGCCCGGCCTCGCTGCGTCCGCCGGCGCCGGCACCCGCGCGGCCCCCGCCGCGGCCGGCGGCCGGGCCCGACTTCGACTGGTTCCAGAGCCCCCAGCAGCTGCACCTCATCACCTACTGCCGGCAGCCGGGGCTGACCGCTGACGACGTGAGCGTGCGACTGACGGGCCGCCGGCTGCTGTGCCGCGTCTACCTGCGCGACTCGGTGTTCACGCTGCACTGGGAGCTGCCGGAGGACGTCAGTCCGGACTCTCAGACCTCCGTGTCGCCGGCCGGGAAGGTGGAGATTGTGCTGGAGAAGCGGCGCGCCGCCCAGTGGGCCAGCACGGGCCGCGTGCTGGCCGGACACCGCACCAGCACGCCGCTGGCCCAGTTCTGCCCCGAGTTCGTGTCGTTCGTGCTGGTCGAGCGGCGGCCGGTGAGCCACGACACGCGCCTGCTGCTGCTGCAGCCGCCGGCCGGCTGCTCGCTGCGGGTGCCGCTCGGTTTCCACGTGTTCGTGCGGCGGACGGTGTGCGGCGCGCAGCTGGAGCGGCCCTACACGCCCGTGCCGGAGAGCGTGGGCGAGGTGGCGTCGGCGGCGGCCGAGCGTCAGCTCTGTCTGATGGTGAAGGTGTACCCGGACGGCGTGCTGACGCCCCAGCTGGACGCGCTGCGGCTGGGACAGACGCTGGAGGTCAGTGAGCCGGTGGGCACGTTCCGCCGCCGGCCCCAGGACGTGGCCGAGCTGGTGGCGCTGGCGGCCGGCACCGGGCTGACGCCGATGGTGGGGCTGGTGCGCGCCGTGCTCGACCAGTCTGCGGAGGCGCCCGTCCGACTGGTGACGTTTGTCCGCCGGCAGCGCGACCTGCTGTGGCCCGACCAGTGGGCGGCGCTGGCCGAGCGCCAGGCGCGCTTCAGCGTACTGCACGTGCTCTCGGAGGAGGAGGCGGAGAGCGCGTGGAGCGGCCGGCGCGGCCGGGTGTCGGCGCCGCTGCTGGAGGAGGTGATACCGGAGCCGGCGCGGCCCGGACTGCTGGTGGCCGTCTGCGGACCCACGGCCTTCTCGGCCGCCTGCAGTCGGCTTCTGGCAGAGCTCGGGGTGCCCGGCCAACAGGTCCACGTGTTTGATGGCTAGGCACTAGGCAGAGCTGCAGCCGTGAAGGGAATCTTGCGATTCATGATATTGGCCCGGGCGCTGAAACAACGTAGATGTCAGACTGAGTTTAACCCGCGCCCGGCTGGGGGTCCTGGATTTCCACGCCCTGCTGGGGGGGGGGGGGGTGTCTGAACACCCCCCTTCTAACTCGGCTCCTGGGCCACGTAGCGATACGCGGAAGGCGGCGTTCGAAAGAGCGTCAAAAATAATGACGAAATCACTTCGGTCAATTTTTTGGTCAGGTCAAAGGTCAGGTCACCAGAGGTCATTGAAGGCAAAATTTCGCCGATTTCCAGGTCGAATGTCGACAATTTCCAAGATGCCAACGCATAACTCGGGAACCAATAGAGCTACAGCGCTGCGGAAAAGCGCATTCGATAGCCCTATTAACGCCCTTTCTGAGTAATTCTCTCAGATTTGACCTAACGTCAACGGTTTTGCCTGCAGGGGGCAAAAACTGCAAAAATAGCCGATTTTTTCGGAAAAAGTTTTTCTGCACTAACTTTTGACCCAAGCCTTGCACGAGCTTACTTTTACCGGCATCGTGTTCCTCTCGTCAAGACGCATCGAATGAACTATAACTTGACCTTGAAAGGTCAACTTGAAAATTTGACCTCAGGTCAAGGTCATGACCTGACCGGAAAGGGTCATGTTGCATATCAGTCGATCCGTATCGTCGAGCTGAACACATCTAATGTGTTTTCATCGCTCTAGCATGCCTCTATCAAAAGTTATTTGCGAAAGTTAGATACCATTCGTGACCTAAGATGACCTCAGGGCATAAACAAAGGTCACGGACACCATTTTCATGTTCAGTGTGTCTAAACCACTTGTAATTCAGTGTTTGGGAGTGTTTATAATGTCTTTCGTCCAAAAGAGGCGCATTTCAATTTTCTCCCATTGACTTATAATAGGGAGGTCGCAAAATTGACCTGACCTTAGGTCATCGATATCAAAATTCTGACATATGCATTTTGTACGTGCTATTGCTCTTAGCAATCGCTGAAAGTTTTAAAGCGATCGGTCACTCGGTGTAGCTATGACAGACATTGAAACTTTTTATGAGGTGAGGTCACTTCAAGTGACCTGGTGACCTGACCTTGAATGACCTTGGTCTGAAATTTTCACAACATGTGTAGAATTGATGTATGATAAGGTGTACCAAAAACGGCGGCGCGGAGCGCCGCCGTTTTTGAGATATTCGCGAAAAACCACAAGGGGGGGGGGGTGTTCAAACACCCCCCCCCCCCCCCAGCAGGGCGCGGGTTAAGTTGGCGTTGCTGCCAGATGGTTCCAGCGTTTCAGCGAGTTTGCTTTGCCTTTGGCAAGACCAAGCTATTGAGAAATATTCAGCATTAATAAGTCTTCAGCATAAATGTGACATGACGTTTTTAAACCTAACATTTTAGACCGTGATTTGGCCAGTGTCACGTTTCGTAGTTCCTTTTTACAGTGCTGGGCCGATGCTGCCTTAGTATTTTTTCACTAGGGATGCTATCAGATAGGAGTGAGATCGCGCCCACGGTCGCCGCGCTGTACGCGATATTTTATGTGCGACGTGTGTCCAGTCTTGCTGCTGGCCTGCCACTGAACCAATTCACAATGTGGGACGGATGATGTGATTCATGAAGATACCCGATAGGTGTATGTATGACGCTGATATGAGAGCGCGCACAAACTCACGTAGTCTTAGTCAAAGCTCCATAACTATCGGATCACAAACGGATGGTTCTGGTTGTACCCTTGAGATTGACAGATGTCTCATTGAGATTCTCCTAGAGGTGTTTTGACGAGCGGTTAACGCAAATGACCCGAAACTCCATAAGTTAATAGAACAATCAGGCAACCGCATAAGTGAATGACGGGACGTGCAGATCTTTTGTGGCTCTGGTAAACGGTTCCGACGATTGGATTGTTTAGTGCCGTTAGCGTTGGTGGTGACCGGCAGAGTAGCCGACCTCGGTGCTGTTTAGCGTTGGTGTTTGTTGTTGTTGTACACTGGAGACTGCCTCAGCCGGTCGCCGGTCGCCGCTCTGGCAGTGTTTATCCGTTGTCGTCTGTGGTCTAATGTCGCTGAATATCGTTAGTTCGGCGCTAGCCCTTCGTCCTCACGGTATCTGGGTCGTCATAGAACATTGTCAAAATACCTCTGCGACTATTCTCATTAAGTTATCGTGGTGTCCGTTTGTCCGTGGCTGTTGCAATGGCATGATATCTTGCTACTCTGTGTAGCAACAACAAACAGTTGTGTTCCATTTATAAACACAGTCTCCCACCGCACGTTTCCTAGGACAGAGCTGACACCCCACCTATCACGCTCGCAATAGACGTCGCTCTGCGCTCCGTTAGGCCTGCCGCTCGTATCGGCATTTCGCTGGGTTTTTTGTCGCCCTGTTGCGGCGCTGAGCGGCATGCTCGACCCACTCAGGAGCCTGCCTTGTCAGCGGGCGGGCCGTCGTCCGTGTGCCGGCGGCGCTCCCGCCCCCGCACCCGCCCCCGCTCCCGCTCCCGCTCCGTGTCGTGTCGGGGTGACCGCGGTGACCCGTACGTGTGCGGGCGAGGGTGCCGCCGCGGGTAGACTGTCCGGCCAGTGGTGCGTCGTGTGGTAATAAATGACGTGACGGCAGTTGCAGCATATCGTCTCGTTTGTCACACTATTCTGCAGACATAACTATTCGTGCCTTGACGCTAAGGTCCAGCTCTCTGAGCTAAACAGCTGAGCAGTGGTTTGGGCTGCACCTCCACTGGTGATTCGTAGGTACTAATGGTTCATCGGCAGCTAACATGGTTTCTCACAGCTATCGTGACTCCCAGTCGGTCGCAGGGTTCATGACAGTCTGTCAACACTGACACTGACACACCGCAAAACGGACCAGGCTCAGAGCACCCACGCTCTCCGCTATCCATGAGTTCTGGCCTAGAACGTTATCCCTGTCTAAGAGGGTAACTGTTCGACCCGTGACGCTTTGTCCAAGATGCCTTGTTTGACTGGCCAAATTGTGCCCGTTCTCCACACTCCATCCTCTGATGGGGTCTGGTCTGGTCTGGTCTGACTGGTCAGGCTGGTCTGTGCCACTGGTCTGGCCTGGCTGACCGGGTCGCTGTTGGGCAGGGTCGGGTCGGGTCTGTCAGTGGTTGCGTCCGCCGTACGGACGGCGATGGGCGCTGATCACCGTCTCCGAGCTCACTGCGCTATTTATTGATCCCCGCCGGGGTAATAACCACGGCTGAGCAGGTGACACGAGCCACCCCGGCTCCACGAGGGTCCAATATCGACGGCGGACGACCCGCCGCCCCCCGCCCGGGGGCCGGCCGACAGCGGCCCCGAGCGAGCTGCCACGGAGCTGCGGCGATCAGTCCGGTCCGCTGGCAGTGCGCAGCGAACGGCCCATTACGGGTGCTCTTTTTTAGGATTCCTGCTGCATGGGTAACAGATATAGACATGCTGTCGGAATGATGATGCTTCGTAGGGTGGATTTGGAGAGGATATTGTCATGATGCCGAGCCTCAGTAACTGACGATAGTTTTTTTTTTTACATTGTGAAAATATCCGCAGATCAATGAGTCTAGCATGGTTGTGTGGAACACTGCGTGACTGCAGGAGCCATCAGACTGGAAACCTTTTCCACTTGCTCACTGGGAGTGCGACTGCGCCTGGATCGCGCAACGTGACTGGCTGGTGAAGTAATTTTGTTCGCTCAAAAGGATTGAATGATATGGCACAAATGTATGGTTTATTAGGTGATAGAGAACTGTGACTAGACACCTGAGACCCCTTCCCGATGATTAACTAAGATATTTAATGAGCAGGGCTAGCTTAGACTGAGTGACGTAATGGTCAAATATCCATGAGAATCAGTCTGATTTCTGGCAAATAGAGAACTTTCCATGTTGGATACCGTTGGTGCTAACTGCTAAGGAGTTTCCCGTAAGATTGGTATCGGTGTTCAATCTACATCTGATGCTGAGCGCTGCTTATCCTGTGACGTGATCTTGTACCGATCAGATTCTATGTCACCCATTTCCCCACTGACAGGCACTAGGCAGTCACGCCCTGCCCTCGTCCCGCTCTGACGGCCCCTGGCGCTGTTGGCAGGCCCGCCGAGATGCTGACCGGCTGCTGCGCGCTCCTGCTGCGCCGGGCGGCGGCCGTGCCGCGGGTGCCTCCGGTGCCGGCCGGCGCCCTCCGGCTGGTGGCCGCCGTCCCGCCGCCGCCGCCGCCGCCTCTGACCCTGCTGCTGTGCCGCTCCGGGCACCGGCTGGCCGTACCGCCGGGCGTCCCCGCGGCGCCCTGCTGTGGACCGCTCTCCTCACCGTCCACCTGCGGCCCGGCGGCCCCTTCACCGGGCCGCTGCGTCCGTCAGTCGGCCCGGCTGTCCACCGCCGTCCGGACGGCAGCCTGCCCGGCCTTCCAGTGGAGGAGTCTCAGCGACCAGCGCTCCCGGGAACACCGAGACGAGCCGGCCCGGGAACACAGAGACGAGCCGGCCCGGGAACACAGCGACCAGCCGCCGCGCAGCATGGTGGAAGACGTGCGGCGCACCGGGCAGCAGATGCGCTCCACGGTCCGGCGCATGGTCTCGGTACGTAGTTACCGCGGGCGGGGCGCTGGCAGGCTGCCTGGAAGGCCCAGCGCCCTCCTTTGCGTATATTGGCTGACACCGATGAGCTGACACGCCATAAGGCAGGAGACTCCCTCTGATGCTCCTTTGGTGTTCATACTTCATGTCATGTTTTTTATTAGGTCATGGAGTTGGAGTTTTAGTAATTGGTCTTTTTAATATCCACGTTCTTGTGTACAGTAAGCAGTTCCCTGCGAGGAGTTTGGTGGACGCCCATTCTGAGGGTTCGTGGTTCATCCCCGACTCCGGGAGTGGCGTGGAACATTTCCCTTCTGAGAGTTATTCCTCGTCCTGTGACCTGCAGCGCTCGCCCGCTGCACTAAATGGCTGAATGGCGTCAAATAGGGGCCGAGCACTCCATGTATAGAGCGGTCCAATTACATTAGGAGGAGGCAGCGACCCAGCGTGGCCAAACCAGCTAGCGTTGCGCTATTCAACACTCTTCGACACGTTTCTGGGGCCACAGACACAGTGCTGAGCAGTGGGATGACTTATATGGTCCCTGGCTTAAGTGACGGTTGCGTTTCGGAGCTCTAATTAAACAGCTTGTTTCTTTTGTTTTGTTGACAAACCCTCAATCGCAAAAATGATTTCACTGGCTACTGCTAGGCTGATTCCTGAAAAAAAAACGACATGAGTGATATAATTATCGGTTTTACGTTGAAATATTCCATTCTTGTGTATATGTCGGTTCCACAGGCAAGGTTATATGCACACGTGCTGATGGCGTGTCTGTGGTATGTGTGTGTTTCAGCATGAGAACATTTACACGGTGCCGAACGCGCTGTGCGTGACGCGGATCGCGCTGACGCCCGCCATCGGGTGGCTGGTGGCGGCCGAGGCCTACGAGCCGGCGCTGGCCTGCTTCATCGTGGCAGGGGTGACCGACCTGCTGGACGGCTGGATCGCGCGCACATTCCCCGGACAGGTGGGTGGACACTGGACAGGTGGACGGGGAGTGGGTGGACAGGTGGACGGGACGTGGGTGGACATGGATGGACAGGTGGACGGGGCGTGGGTGGGCAGGTGGACAGGTGGACGGGGCGTGGGTGGGAAGATGGGGAGGCCAGAGGTCAAAACAAGTGGGTTAGTGGCTGCCACCGGTTTTCAGGAATAAGAGTTGCTGACTCGTTTTGCATTATTGTGTCGTTTTCGTTTGTTTCTTCACTTTGTTATTGATATATCAACTTGACAATTGTGTATATCATGTACCCCATAGGAATAGCCATAAAATATTGGCTTCGCATTCTGTCCGGTATTTGTCTTTGCATGAGCTCGATTCTCGCCGTCAATTTACCACCATCGCACCGCTGTAATCTTCTCTCCCCACCGTCACCTCGGCGGCCAGTCTGATTGTGACATTATACAGGGTGTCCGGAAATTATTTTCCCCTGGCTCATTGAGCTAAATCCTACCATGCGCTTTAACCCGCGAGTTGCTGGGGGGGGGGGGGCGTTAAACGCCCCCACTTTTTTCGCCGGGCCATAGCATAAAAACGGCGCGCCGCAGGCGCGCCAAAATTTGGGCACCTGTAGGAAATCGATTGAAGTTTATTGTGACAAAGTTTCAAGAAATCGGTCGGAAAATTTTTGATATAGAGGTTTTAGTGACGTCATGATTTCTGAGTTTTCGACCAAAAACGGCACATGTTCAAAAAATCATATAAAATCACAGAATAGACATACAGACATGCCGTAAACTCCGTTAGACTGCCAATACCATGAACAATCAAATGGCTATCTTCGATTATTGATTATCGTTCCGCATTTTCCAAAATCTTGAACTGAATCTTGGCAATTTCTCGTGACTACTTCAAGACCATGATACATGTATTTCTTCAGTTGAACTTTTTTAGCCAAACACGTACACATATGATAAAATGAATGCCACCATCGTGTTCTACGCCCCAAATTAGGCCCGGGCAGCGTACGCCCCAAATTACCCATAAAACATGTGTCACAGACTGCGAATATCAGTTTTGATTTTCGGGGATATGTGCCTGCCCAGTTGACCTGACCTTGACCCTGACCTATGCTTGACTGACCCCTACATGGAGCTGACACTCTTGTAGGCCTTATATGATGGATTGAGCACCGTTTTGACAGAGTTTATGACGAGAGGCGTCCGTTGCGAAGTCCTGAAGTCCATGCTACTGAAAGCCCGATTTCAGGTGTTTGACCTGACCTTGACCCGACCTGTGACCTCAAAATTCAACTTTAAAGTACTCATCTGAAGCGTCTCGTCGCGTTCTTTCGTTTGCCGCCTCGTGCGTTCCGCTGCGCCTATTGGTTCTCGAGTAATCGGCTGGGGGCGTTTAACGCCCCCCCCCCCCCCAGCAAACGGTGGGTGGCGAAATACCCCAGCAACTGCCGGGTTAAGAACTGTTAAAAAATTTGCTAAGACCGTGCCTCAGGCTATCCACAGCTGTCCGTTAGACAGATGACATAACCCGGTCACCTGACTTTGACACTTGCGAGGCGCCAGGGGGCAGTGTTTGGCAGGCGTAACTCGCACCTGAACGTGGTGTCTACTATGACGAAAGAAACTCTTCGACAAAGCGTCATCGTGCTGAAGTTGTGGTGAAAACTGGAATGAAGTAGGAAGTCAAGTTGAATCCTCTGCCCTAATCTCAATCGAAAACCTATGGGAAGTCATGAAGGAGGAGCTCAGCAAGATTGAACAAGCTCCCACAGAAAACGGACTGTAGAGGAACCTGTGAAAGGTGTGGCTGAACATCAGCGCGGATACTCTGGACATCTTGATCTATGCAATGCCAAAGCGGATGAGGGAATGGGTGGGACAGGGCAGGGGATAAATCGGTAAATAAACAATGACCCGGGGCTCTTTTTTATTGATTATGGCGGCGATTTGATGGAGGGACAAATAATTTCCGGACACCCTGTAACGCTCTCCGTGTATGTATATTGCGATGCTATTGGTGGCAGAGTGACACCCTCCGTGACAATGTGACGCTCTCCGTGACAGTGTGACGCTCTCCGTGACAGTGTGACGCTCTCCGGACTCCCATGAGATACTGGGTGCCTCTGTGACATATTCCCTGCCCCTGTGACACACTCTGTGTCCCTGTGACGCACCCCCTGCCCCTGTGACACACTCTGTGTCCCTGTGACGCACCCCCTGCCCCTGTGACACACTCTGTGTCCCTGTGACACACCCCCTACCCCTGTGACACATCCCCTGCCCCTGTGACACACTCTGTGTCCCTGTGACACACTCTGTGTCCCTGTGACACACTCTGTGTCCCTGTGGCACACCCCCTGCCCCTGTGACACCCCCCCTGCCCCTGTGACACATCCCCTGCCCCTGTGACACACTCTGTGTCCCTGTGACGCCCGCCGCCCTGTCGGCAGTCGTCGCTGCTGGGCAGCTTCCTGGACCCGCTGGCCGACAAGCTGCTGGTGGCCACGCTGTTCCTGTCGCTGACCTACACGGGTCTGATCCCGCTCGGACTGACGGTGCTGACGGTGGCGCGCGACCTGGGACTGATCGTCGCCGCCGCCTGGGTGCGGCACCGCTCCGTCCCGCCGCCGGTACGTGCGGGGGGGGGGGGGCTCCGCGGACCCTGGGACCCCCTGTGGGCAGGATTACTTTTAAAGGGGGAAGAGGGAATTTCCCCCTTCCGAAATTTCCGCTCCCCTTTCAAATTGTGTGAGAATGGCTAGGGAGGGAAGGGGAAATTTCCCCCTTTCAAAATTATTTTTGAGCCCATTTTCAATTAATTCGCTATTCAGATTCTAGAGTCATCGTTATTCAGATTCTAGTCATCATCAACGTTGCTGGCGCTAAGATATTATCAATGAGTATGGGCAGTGGCACCGCCCGGGCAGAACTTAAAATATCCGGAACTCCAGATTTGACCCGATACTGATTGGATGGTCGGTGGGACCGTCTCTTGTGTTGTCTTTTCGCACTCACTCAGGGGCGGATCCAGCAAAACCCCAAGGGGAGGGTCATGAATCGAAATGGTGCCCCTTGCTGTACCCAAAAGTAAAAACTCAACGGATTTCGGGCTTCTGCCACTTAATTTTGGTGATGCCCTAATTTCAGTTTTTTGGGGGGGGGCTGTGGTGCCCCTGCTAGGCCGCAGGTGCCCCTGGCAGGTTCGTGGTGCCGCTGGAGGGAACGTGGTGCCTCTGACAAGCCTGAAGTGCCCCTGACAGGCCCGTGGTGCCCCTGACCGGCCCGTGGTGCCCCTGACAGGCCCATGGTGCCTATGCGAGGCCGGTAGTGCCCCTGCGAGGCCGGTGGTGCCCCTGGCAGACCTGTGGGGCTCTTGTTAGGCCGATGGTGCTCCTGACACGACTGTGGTGCCCCTGACAAGCCTGAAATGCCCCTGACAGGCCCGTGGTTCCCCTACAGGCCCAAAGTGGCCCTCCGAGGCCGGTGGTGCCCCTGACAGGCCTCTGGTGCCCCTGGCAGACCGGTGGTGCTCTTGCTAGACCGATGGTGCTCCTGACAGACCTGTGGTGCCTCTGCCTGACAAGCCTATGGGCCCCTGACAGGCCCGTGGTGCCCCTGCTAGGCCTGTGGTGCCCCTGGGCCCAGACAGGACTGTGGTGCCTCTGACAAGCCTGAAGCGTCCCTGACAGGGCCGTCTGCAAACTGCGTGGTAGGTATTCTTTTTCGGACAAAACTGAGAATAACGCGAATACTATGCTATCGGTCACTCAGAAATCGTAAAAGCAAGATGCGCGAGACTCCGTACCCTAGATTGGCATTATCATCGTATTCATTTTCCATCCAGTTTGGCAACAAAACCGAAAAGTGTATATTTGCCCCCAAAACAAACTTTTGCATTTTGTTGCCACACATGGCGTATACATTGTTTAGTGATAGACCCAATCGAAGGAGTGGAGCGTGGCGCATCTATTTGCAGTCAGTTCCGACCGAATGATAACATAGCTTTTGAGTTATTACCAGTTTTGTCGAAAAAAGAATACCTACCACGCAGTCTGCTGAGGGCTGTACATGGTGGCCCTGACAGGCCCAAGGTGCCCCTACGAGGCTGGTGGTGCCCCTACTAGGCCTCTGGTGCCCCTGACAGGACAGACCTGTGGTGCCCCTGACAAGCCTGAAGGGACCCTGACAGGCCCTTGGTGCCCCTGCGAGGCCGGTGGTGCCCCTGTCAGACCTGTGGTGCTCTTGCTAGGCCTATGGTGCTCCTGACAGGCCTGTGGTACCCCTGACAGGACCGTGGTGCCCCTGGCAGACCTTTGGTGCCCCAGGGCTCCAGGGGGGGAGGGGGGGTCGTGACCCATGTGACCGACCCTCCCCCTTGGATCCGCCACTGCACTCACTGGCATATCGGTACAGGCGTCAGCGCAGAAACCGAGGGGACGAGCGTCATGACCTCCCCGAATCTCATTCCCCCTCTCAACTTTTCCTGTAAAAGTAACCCTGCCTGTGGGACCCTGGGACCCATACCACCGCCGGTACGTGGGGGCTCTGCGGACCCAGGGACCCCTGTGGGATCCTGGGATACTCGCCGACACCGCTCCGTCCCGCCGCCGGTACGTGTTCGGTGAGACCCTGGGGTCAGAGTACGTGTGAAGTCTGGTACATGTGTGCGTGACTAAAAACCTGTCTATACAGGTCGAATCTCTCTCTGGGGGACTCCGGGACACCCGGCCAGTATGTGTGACCTCCCAGAGACCTGATCATCCAAAGACCACTCTCCCAGTACGTGCGAGCTCCGCCTCCAACAGTGTCCGACCTCTGAGGGACTCCTTCACAGTATCTAGGAAACACCCCCGCCCGGTAGCTTACTGCAAACGCTTAGCAGATCTGAGTGATTCCGAGGCACATAATAACACGATGTCACGGATACAGAGCAGCGGGTATTTCCGCATTTCGGGATTGGGTGACTCCAGGAGTCTGAGTGACTGATAACTGGGTCCTGTTTCTTTGGTACGGTTGGGATGCTCTATGAAAAGGATGCTATGGAGCGTGATAAATGCACCCATTGGCCATTTAATTAGGCATTTGCCCTGTTGGATTCATCTGTGAACTATTCTCTGATTTGTTAAAGTAGCAATAGCTGCCTCGCCGCAGTAAGGTGAGGAATGAGGACCACGCCGCCCAGACTCGCTCGCCCCGGGCCGCGGGCTGCTGTCGGCATCGGTAGTCGAGGTGCTGGGTGGTCTCCGTTCGCTCACAGTAGTCAGTTAACACGGAACTTTCGGAAGCATGTTCAATGTTGATTATAATTTATAGGATGCTCAACAAGCCTTTCTCCACTATGTTCCTTGGCACAATCATGTCATGACACATCTCTGAAATGTCCTTTATTATGATGATGATGATGATGTCCTTTAATGAGGAAACGTTACGTTTGATAAGATAATGCTAGCTAAACCCCATCAAAGGCCATCCGTTAGGCAGCCCTGGCCCCTGTTGGCTGTTCTTATCCTCGGCACTGCGGCCGCGGCCGTACCAGTTTCTGTGTCTCGCCGCCAGGGTGCCCAGCCGTCCCTGAAGGTGGCAGCACACTGGCCGGCCATCGCATGAAATGGAAGCCGTGAGGCCTGAGCTTGATTTCATGATGAGGGAAAAGTCTTATTTCTCTTTTATATTGCTTGTGTTGTGCAGACGTGTGACATCAAGAGAGGCTTTAGAGGGACTTCGTTTCTTTTTCGAAAGTTTTTTTTTAACTCCATCGTTTGACCCTTCATTGCGTTTTGTTTAAGCCGAATGTTTTGTTTTTCAGCTTTGAGCGTGGTACGCTCCTTCAGGTTTTTTAATTTAGTTGCATTTTACTTCGAAGACTTTTATTGGCTGCTCCAATGAAACGATGGCCAGGCCCTTTTTCATACTTATGGGACGATACATGAGAAACGTTTATGCTCGAAGTTTTTTTCTTCACCTTATGCAGTGATGAAGATAGTGTCCGTGACATAGCATACCTAAGTTGAAAGATAATTATCAGGTTGGTTGGAAGGGTGACCCGATCCGCCGGGTACCCTTCTACCCATCCCCGGCTGGCGGCGACCCTGCCGCTGCCCCTGCCGGTCAGTCGCCGGCCCTCCTCCCCGACCCGGTGGTCCCGTGTAGCGGCACGCCGGATCAATAGCCTGACGGCTAGCGGCACCAACTGAGTTCGGGACACATTTTCGTGACTGTCCAGTGTCCGTGACACTAATTGTCAAGCATTCGTTACTGTTTGCTGCCTGTAACTGTGTAGTGTTGTCCGTAAACATCTTATAATGATGACTGTCTATTGTCCGGGACTATCTAGTGACCTTGTTGTGTCCGCGGCTGTCCACTGTCCGTGAGTCCGTGATCCGCTGCAGACCACTCCGTGTCCGCCGGCGACTGGAATCGCCGCCATCGACCCGCCGGTCGGCCGGAGTCGCGCGGCCGTATCGACCTGTCTGCACTTCTCACTGACCCGGAGCGCTCCAACATCGCCCCCCCCCCGCGCGGACCGGCGATCCGTGTGAGGTCGTCCTACAGTGGCGGTATTTCTGACCGTCTGACTGAGGTCTCTGACCCTGACATCTGACCCTCTAGCCTTGACATCTGACCGTGTCCGGGCCTTTCACCCTCCAACCGCGACATCTGACCGACTGATGGTGTCATACCCGTCTGACCGTCTGGCCGGGCTTCTGACCGTCTAACCGTGACATTTTACCCGTCTGACCGGGGCCTCTGATCCTCTAACCGCGACATCTGACCGTCTGATGGTGACACACCGGTCTGACCGTCTGACACGGTCGTCCTCAGGTGACGCTGTCGCGCTACTTTGACCCGACGTTCGCCACCGCCCAGCTGGAGCCCACGTTCATCAGCAAGGTGAACACGTTCCTACAGATCACACTGGTGGCCTCGACGCTGGCCGCTCCCGTGCTGGGCTTCGTGGACCACACGGCTCTCAGAGTGCTCTGGTGAGGAGGGGTAGTGGGCCGGCGAGGGGTCTGCTCTGGTGAGGAGGGGTAGTGGGGTGGCGAGAGGTCTGCTCTGGTGAGGAGGGGTTACTGGGGTGGCGAGGGGTCTGCTCTGGTGAGGAGGGGTAGTGGGGTGGCGAGGGGTCTGCTCTGGTGAGGAGGGGTAGTGGGGTGGCGAGGGGTCTGTCCTGGTGAGGAGGGGTAGTGGGGTGGCGAGGGGTCTGTCCTGGTGAGGAGGGGTAGTGGGGTGGCGAGGGGTCTGCTCTGGTGAGGAGGGGTTACTGGGGCGGCGAGGGGTCTGCTCTGGTGAGGAGGGGTAGTGGGGTGGCGAGGGGTCTGCTCTGGTGAGGAGGGGTAGTGGGGTGGCGAGGGGTCTGTCCTGGTGAGGAGGGGTAGTGGGGTGGCGAGGGGTCTGCTCTGGTGAGGAGGGGTTACTGGGGCGGCGAGGGGTCTGTCCTGGTGAGGAGGGGTTACTGGGGTGGCGAGGGGTCTGCTCTGGTGAGGAGGGGTTACTGGGGTGGCGAGGGGTCTGTCCTGGTGAGGAGGGGTTACTGGGGTGGCGAGGGGTCTGCTGTGGTGAGGAGGGGTTACTGGGGTGGCGAGGGGTCTGTCCTGGTGAGGAGGGGTTACTGGGGTGGCGAGGGGTCTGCTCTGGTGAGGAGGGGTTACTGGGGTGGCGAGGGGTCTGTCCTGGTGAGGAGGGGTTACTGGGGTGGCGAGGGGTCTGCTGTGGTGAGGAGGGGTTACTGGGGTGGCGAGGGGTCTGTCCTGGTGAGGAGGGGTTACTGGGGTGGCGAGGGGTCTGCTGTGGTGAGGAGGGGTTACTGGGGTGGCGAGGGGTCTGCTGTGGTGAGGAGGGGTTACTGGGGTGGCGAGGGGTCTGCTCTGGTGAGGAGGGGTTACTGGGGTGGCGAGGGGTCTGCTCTGGTGAGGAGGGGTTACTGGGGCGGCGAGGGGTCTGCTCTGGTGGGAAGGTTACTGGGGTGGCGAGGGGTCTGTCCTGGTGAGGAGGGGTAGTGGGGTGGCGAGGGGTCTGTCCTGGTGAGGAGGGGTAGTGGGGTGGCGAGGGGTCTGTCCTGGTGAGGAGGGGTAGTGGGGTGGCGAGGGGTCTGCCCTGGTGAGGAAGGGTAGTGGGGCGGCGAGGGGTCTGCTCTGGCAGCACGGCGATACGGAAGCAGGGAGAGAAAATTCGAACTAGGTAGTGGCGAGAGGGTCGATTCTGTGATTAAAGTCGGTGTCTAGTAGGGGTTAAGTGCCCCATGTTGTTAAGAGATAGAGGGTCCTTTGTTCTCTGGCGCAGGCGCGGATCCTGGGGGCTCTGGGGTCCGAAGCCCCAGCCTATCGAAAAAATGCCGCCCGGCCTTTGTAGATGGCGGAGGAGGGCGTCATTTTTTCGATAGACGGTGGAGCGCATTTTACGGGAATGAGCATTTCTTTAAGTTCATTTCATAATAATCTGTGGTAGTAACTGTCTGATTCTATATTCAACCCTCAGATTATGTTGCTCCTCTCCCTGAAGTCAGAGTGCCGCCCTCAAGTAGAGGTGCCGCCCCCGTAGTGAAGTGAATGCCGCCCCCGTAGGCGGGAAATGTGCCGCCCCTGTGCTGACTGCCACTACCCTATGGAAATCCTGGATCCGCCCCTGCCCTGGCGAGAGGGTGTGCTGCTCTGAAGAGACATGTGCTCTGGTTGAGATGGTTCGGTCATACTTGTTCTGGTGCGAGAATGTGATTCACTATGAGAGAGTCTGGTGTTCTGGTGAGAGTTCTATACTCTGGTGAGAAGACCCAGTTCTGCTGGGTCTGATGTGACGACCACGTTCTCCGGTGGGAGGGTTTGTGCTGTGGTGCCCGGTCTCGGCCGTCCGTGGCGACTGGCGACCGGCGTGCAGCCGCGCCCCGTATCAGCGCGTCCCCCGGACATCCCTCCCTCCCTCCCCTTCCTGTGTGGTCGGTCGCGCCGGGACGGAGCCGTAATCTCCGCAGGCGCCACCACATCGCCTCCCGGTTTCCGCTGCAGTCAGCACTGACTGTACTTCGAGTCACATGCTGAACGTGTTATCGGTCATGTTTTGAAATACGTCGCTCAGTTGGATCATGTTTTGAAATACGCTTTGCTGTAGTGGTCTGTAGTCGGACCTGGAACAATAATAATTAGAAAAATCAAAGTATTGCGTTCCAAAATACGTTGACGACTTGTGTATGTAGTGTGTACTGATACCTATGGTGTTTTGTGTCCGTCCGACAGGGTCTGACTGTCGCATGGTTGTCACAGACCTGCTCATGTCTGACTGACATCTGTCTGTCACGGGCCAACTGTCGTCTGTCTGTCACGGATCGTCTGATTGACATCTGTCTGTCATCTGTCTGTCACGGACCGCCTGACTGTCACATGTCCGTCACGGATCACCTGGCTGGCATCTGTGTGTCATGGACCGTCTGTCATTTATCTGTCACGAGCTGTCTGTCGTCCAGCTGTCACGGACCGTCTGTCTGTCAGATCTGTCACGGGTCGTCTGACCGTCCCGTGACCGTCGTCCGACAGGTGTGTGACAGCTGGCACCACTGTCACCTCGGGAATGGTATACGCCCTGCTACAGAGCTCCACCTACCGACTGCTGGATAAAGAGGACGCCAAACGGCCGCGCTGACGGCAAATCCAGCGGCAAACGGCCGCGCTGACGGCAACTACAGACGGCAAACGGCCGCCCTGACGGCAAATCCAGCGGCAAACGGCCGCCCTGACGGCAACTACAGACGGCAAACGGCCGCCCTGACGGCAGCTGCTGCGGCGAGGGACCGAGGGTTGAGTCAGCCGACGGCGGGGCGGACGGGACGTGATCTATATACTCTGGACGGGACACCCCCGACTCCACTGTAAACGGGATCGAAACCGACTGAGCAGGACTTAGCGAACTGACATTCTGGGGGGCTGGCTTATTGACGCGGCGGAGACTGATCCTGGCCGACAGACAGACTGATAGACTGACAGACCGGCTGATAACCTGGTGGACTGACACAGTGACAGTCTGTCGAATTGACAATGTGACAGTCTGTCGAACTGACAATGTGAGTCTGGTGAACAGACTGACTGACAGATAGGTAGTCTGGCAGATTGATACTGACAGTGACAGACGACTGACGGTCTGGCGAAGTGACGCCGACAGCCTGGCAGTCCGGTCCAACCGCCAATCCTCCCCAGTTGACGCTCGCCGTCAGACAAGGACATAAAGAGTCGGATCACACCGCCGGAAACCCCCTCACAGCCCGGCTGCCGGCGTCGTGACTCGCCCGGCTCCAGGCACATGACTCATGGTCATGATGTGCATTCACCCGGTACTGGGGACTGCCGTGCACGGCCCGGCGCGGTGTTCATTATGCATTATGCAGACGGCCGTGTCGTACAGCTGGGGCATTCCACGATAGATCGTACCACTTTTTTCCAATTTGACACCCTCATCTCTCGGATTTTAACGATAATTGGTCTGAGGGGTAATCAGGGGCTCTGAATCCTCCTGTAACAATTTCTGGCTTATCAGATGAGTGGTTTTTGAGTTATAGTGTATAACATGTTTTGGATCTTGCGTTGCAGCCCCAAGTTTGGCGGGCTGTAACTCTAAGACGGATAATCCAAATGCCAAACGCTATACGGCATTGAACTTGCATTGAAACGAAGAATAATATGCATTTTTAAAGTTTTTGAAATTTATATTATTTTTGATATATAACACCTCGAGTTTCCTTTCATTTGCATTTTTATGCCTTTGGGACCAAATTTTTTTGAATTTTTATTTACTTAAAAACATTTTTGGATCATTTTTAAGTAGTATGCAAAAAATTAGGAAGGTGTTCTTTCTATAAATGTACTTATTTTGCGTCACTGTAATGGTCTCGAATTGTGATATCGGAAGAGAGCCTACAAATGGTGTGGTAAAGCTGCCTAGTGACATCACTGGTTACTGAAAGTTCAATTGAAGTCATTTTTGCCTCACTTTTGCATTGTTGACCTTGCGTGACGTCATTCGTACGTCACTAGGGTCATAAGAGTTTTTCGTCAATAACTCTCGATCAAATTGAGCTAGAGAGACGGGAAAGCTACCAATGGACTCGGAAAGACGTTGCGAATCGAATGATGTGCAATATGATCTCATTCACCCAGCTTCGTGGCCTGACCGGACTGTTAACCATCTCTGTGGCGGCGCTGTTTGTCCAGCGCCGCGCTGGTTGGCTTTGCCGCGGACTCGGGGCGGTCACGTGATGCCCGGCGGCTGGCTGCCGGCTGGGCCGCCCGGTCGGGGAGCGGAGCCAAATACACGGCAGTGTGCTGACCCGAGGTCAGCGACTTAAGCTGACCTCACCAGAACAAACAGTATACCATTGGACGCGCCGGAGCTAGGCAAACACAAAGATGCTAAAATCGCGGCTCTGCGACCATTTGTTGCGAAGTTATCTATCAAAAACCGGACCCGTAATTTGGGTCACTTGAAATGACCTCAGGGGTCACCAATGAACCCGAGACCTTAAAATGTGATATCATTCAATGCATCTTGTAACGGCGCACATGCTCGTTTTTTTCGCAAGGTTCTAGCTCCATTAGAGGCGAAACGGCGAGCTGGGGTCGTACCGAACCCCCGGAAACCCATTTGGTATACATTTAAATGAGGAACTTACAGAAAGAACACCTTTCCAATTTTATGCATGTCGATTTTAAAGGACCTGAGGTTTATTTTGAAGAAATAAAAATGGCAAAAATTTTGGTCCCAAGGGCCATTATAGACAATTTAAAAAAAAAACTACGACTTTTTTCAATATGTAAAGCTTTTCTTTCCAATATCAAAAATACTGTATTAATCTTTGATTCATCGTTAGTTCAAGGCTGTTTACCGTTTGTTGCTTGCTTAGCTCGTTTTTGAGTTATAGCTCATCAAACTCACCCTTACAATCTGAAGTTTAGAAAATATTATGCAATGTAACTCAAAAAGTTTTCATCTGAGAAGTCTGATATTTTGGCAGGTGTTTTTGGAGCCTATGATTACCCCTTGTACCAATTTTCATTCAAATCTGAGAGATGAGGATGACGGGCCTGGTACGATCTATCGTGGAATGCCCCAGCTGCCCGGCGGCTGTGCAAGGGAGCCCGCCGGCCGGCCGGACGCTGACTGCGGCATGTGTTCGGCGTGATGGCGACCAGCTGCCGCCCGGGGACCGCCTGGGGACCGCCTGGGGTGCCAGCCGGGAGTCGGCCCTGGCTCAGCGCCGCGGGTTAGAGCCGCCGGCGCCCGAACCCACTACCAGCGTGCCCAAACAGTCCAGCTGTAACGGGTGCATGGCACGTAGCCTATATGCAAGTACGAGCGTTTTGGACGCATATTTTCCGCGGCATCGATGTTGTGTGCAATCACCTATTCTGTACCACGAGCTTGCTGTTTGGATCGAGAGGGACGGCACCTCCGCGAATCCCCGGGCCCCGCTAAGTCGTTTTTCTCCTAATGGGGAGCCAAGTCCACTCAAATCACAGTGAAGTTGAATAATTGAGAGTGCCATGGGGCTAATAGTGCAACTGTGATTTTTACGCATTGTGCCGATTGGAAATAAACATTTTATGTCAATGGATTCATGTTCCATACAAGCGACTCATGAGGGGAGATGGATCCACACATCAGAGCCTCGCAACGGACGGTTGTATTACCGCGGCACGCCATTTATCCCGGACCTGCCGGACCCGGCCCAGTCCTGGCGCCGGCCCTGCCGAGCTGGCGCCGCCTCTGCAGCACGTCATGGCTGGTGCCACTCCTGCCCCCCCCCCCCCGTCCCGTCCCACGGCGCAGTAGAGAGCGTCCGGCTGACGCCACATACCTACGTCCGTTCTCAACCCGTTACCGCTCGCCAACAGCAGCGTGCAAGCCGGCGGCGTACGCAAACACGGCGAGTGTGCATCGGCCCACACTCCACCGGTGCCGCTGAGCAGCGAATGGCCGCGGCTTGTGCCGCAGCCAGCCCTCGCTGTGGACTCGCCGGTTTCTAAACTCTGCGGCTCCCCCCCCCCCGCACGCCCAGCCCCGGACAGTGCCGGGGTCTGTGTCTACGAACTGCGCAGGTCGAGCCGGCCGCGGTGCATGGACCGCCGTCACACGGCTACGACCGAGCCGGCCGGCCGAGCGGTGCGCGGCGCCGCCGGTGGGCAGTGAGCCAGTCACCACCCTGGTCCATGAGGAAAACAACAACCAGAGCCGGGGCCTTCCTTTTATTTTCCTCAATGCATTGCTCACTGGCGTAGCCCGACAAGGTACGAGGAACACGGCCAGAGTCCGCGGCGCTCCAACATTGGCAGGAGAGCAGCTCGAGGCGCTACCGTCTCGCCGCGCTCAGTGCACGGTGCATGGCTCAGAACGGGGTCAGTGTGCGGCTGGCAGCTGGGTCGCTGCCGTGGGTCGTCGGACATGAGGCGCCCGGCAACAATCAACCGCTCCTCACATGTCAGCACAGTAACGCGCGTCGCACCGCGGCACGACTATCCGCCGCTCACGTTCTGCGTAACGGCATACACAAGTAACAACCAAACGGCAGCACAACATCGTACGCGATAAAATAATAACACACCGGAGACGAATTATGTTACAACAAACACTGACAATTAGCGACGCGCGGCTGCCGACACTGGCGGCAGGCGAGGCGGCATTAAACTGAGAGGCGCGGCCCGTCACAGCCTGGGGAGGGGTGGCCGGCCGAGGTCACAGCAGGTCACAGCAGGTCACAGCTCCGACCTGGCGGCACAGCAGTCAGCACAGCGGTCAGGTCAGTGGGCGACCAGCGCTCAGCAGGGCACATACGGCGCAAAAACCGCCACGCCACCAGTCTGGAATGCAAGGGCATGAATCGCCAACACTTTCAGCAACAATGATAAAAGTGGCATTATTCCATCGCGCGGTCGGCACCGTCCCCCCCCCCCGCAGACTGCTCCGCTCCCCCTCCCTACCCGCTCCCCCAACCCAGGAGGTAGGTCCCACCGCCGCCCCGCGGGTCACGCTAGACACCAGCCAACAATAATCCCTTTGTGGATAAGATCATGATGCTTTATGCTTTATGCATTGCGCAATAATCTCTTTGCACAAGATCTATTCCAGTGTACTTTTATATCATCAAATGATATAAAAAATACGCTATTTGTGACATGAAGTAAATGAAGAAATATTCATGATATTTAACTGGCTCCAGAATAGACGAAGAAGTCCACTTTTTTTAGTTTATCACTTTTCGATTCTAGAAAACAAAAAAAGGAAGTTTTATGTTTATGTCACGGGCGACTGCGCGCGCCCGGTGTCGGATGCCTGGCGCCGCCCATGGCGCCTGCCGGCTGGGAACGGCTGCGGGGCGCTCCCAGGTTCCCAGTCGGCAATGACGTGGCCCCGGGGGCGGGGTCAGGGACCGCTTGAGGCAAATGTCCCCCCCCCCTCAGCGGCTCCAAAATCGGCATATTTTTGCGGTTTTAAGAGAATAAAAAGGAAAACAATGTTTTTAACCACTGGCCAGACAGTGACCCATGGTCAGACAGTGGCCCCTGGTCAGACAGTGGCCCCTGGTCAGACAGTGACCCCTGGTCAGACAGTGGCCCCTGGTCAGACAGTGGCCCCTGGTCAGACAGTGACCCCTGGTCAGACAGTGGCCCCTGGTCAGACAGTGACCCCTGGTCAGACAGTGGCCCCTAGCCAGTGACCAAAGACCACGCCTACGGCGCCAGCGGTGGGCGTGGACTGTCTCGGTGGAACCACGTAACTGGATCAGATCGATCTTGGGCGGTGGTCTGGAGGGGGGGGGGAGAGGACGACACTCCCCTACACTCAGCAGGGGAAGTGACGCCGCGGAGCATGCAACATACACCATGAAACAAGTGGAGGGCCCGCTGCACGGTGCACCCCGCAGCGGCCGTTGATAACGAGGGGGGGGGGGGGTGGGAGGGGGAGGGCAAGTCAGCGGAAAGGAACGAGCATGGCGTGCAAGCGTCGGCGAACTGGAGAGGCCAGCGGACACTGCTAGTGCTACCCAACCCCAGCTTAGTGGGCACATACTGCACCAAGCCTAAGCTCGCGCTTTTTTGGTTTCTGCGGGATTTCCGTTCTGTTACTGCCAGCCTGGCGTACTGTGGAATGGAATCCCCCCAAAAACCGACGATCGTAAATATATTCCTGGTTACATGCAGCAATTTCAAAACCATTATTTGTTGATTATTATTTGTTGAACAAAACACACGTTATACAACAGGAATATTTTCACATATTGATCACCTAGCCATCACTTTTCACTATTCTTTAAACAAAAAGTAAAACCATCCACGCGGAGGCCGCTCGTAACAAAAGAAAAAAAAACACGCAAGAACCGAAAAACTCAATAACTGGAATCCCGCAGAAACCGAAAAAAACGCGGCAAGTGTAGGCTGAGCTTAAGGGACTCATTTTTGCCCCTTATTGTCTCCCTGATGTGCTCTGTTCCGCAGATGGCCGTAATTGGCCATGAACTGCGCTCTGCACACTGCGTGGTAGGCATTCTTTGTTCGACAAATCCGATAACCAGTAAAACGCCTTTTGGGCGACCAACGGAGCGAGCGAGAGGATGGGCCTTGCACGTGCGAAATTGCGAGGGGGTACCTCCAACTAACTTGTGCACTGCACCCTACTAACCGGTCTTTAGCGATGTGCCAAATTTCAGCGCAATCGGCCTAGCCGTTCTCGAGATCTGGAAGCGGCACACTGCACGTGCGCACGTGCAAGCGGGGTCCAAACTGACTTTTGCACGGCACCCTACTAACTGGTCCCTAACCGTGTACCAAATTTGAGCGCAATCGGCCCAGCCGTTCTCGAGATCTGGGAGCGCCCCCTGCACGTGCGCACGTGCTGTAGCACCCCAACCTTAACACATGCAGATGAATTTTCTGATGGAGACCTAACTGTGTACCGAGTTTCAATTCAATCGGCCCAACCGTTGTGCCGTTATTGAGGTTGCAATTTTGGGGGTTCTTAAAAAATGTCGAACTTTACCACGCGCCACGTGCGGTGGTTGGCAAGAACGCATGGTGGCCATCACACCACAGAACTTTTACGTCCAGATGACATTCAGTAAAGAAGACCGCTTGTCAATCGGATGTCCCGTTCCTAAGATATTAGCTTTTAAAGAGCGTCCCCACGGCCGGCCGGCCGGCCGGCCGGCCGCTCATACTCAGGATTTTCCCTTAATTCAGTATGAGACTCCGCTCGCTTCGCTCGCTCCGTAATAACTCAACGACTATGTTATCAGTCGGTCGGGGCTCATTAAACATAGATGCGCCATGATCCACTCCTTCGATTGGGTGTATCACTGAACAGAGTATACGCCTAGTGTGGCAGCAAAATGCAAAAGTTTGTTTTGGGGGCAAATATAAACTTTTGTGTTTTGTTGCCTAACTGGATGGAAAAGCTACACAATGAGAAGTTCAATCTAAGGTGCGGAGCCTCGCGCGTCTTGCTGTTACGATTTCCGAGTGACAGATAGCTTCGAGTCTTCGAGTTATTCTCGGATTTGTCGAAAAAAGAATACCTTCCACGCAGTCTGCAGAGGGCTATACATACATCAGTGCATCATAAGACTCTGCTCTTTTGTCCCGTATTACGTACACTATTGACAGCCGGCGGGTGACGTGTCCCGGGATACAGTGTCAGTACTAGTGATGTTAGTTACAGAAAATCAGGATGCCGATATCAAACCAAATACCAACAAAAAACGTGGGAAAATACCTAAACCAAATGAACTGGGAATATGCGGGGAAAACCAACTTTTTACCAAATTCTTAACCCTCGCTGGCACAGGCCATTTTGCGTCCTTCGACGGCACGGGGGGGGGGGGTTAGGGGTACGACCCCCCTCGCGTTTGGCCCCTGATCGAACTAGAGCTTCGCGGAAAAAGAGCGTGTTGCCCGTCACGAGAGGAAGCCGATGATACCCAATTCTAAGGTCCTAGGTCATCGTTTGACATTCCACGTCAGCTCAATGACCCAAAAGTCGGGAAAATCAGAACCTGTTTGAAAGTCGTAAAGTATGACTGCTATGGGTTTTTTATTTTTCGGGGTGCTGATCACTTATATCGTGTTAGTTTTGATCACAGATGATGTCTTTAAGCATTTTGGCCAGGTCGGGTCAGGTCAGGTCAGGTCAACCAGTAGGGGTAGTGACGGGTATTCGTAGTACGTGTCAACCGCCTCTGATAGCTTCATATCATGTAAGAAAGGCACCAAAACCACTTCGTAAATGTTTAACTGGTTGCTAAGTTCGAAATCAGCTAAAAAAAAACTAGCCTAGAAACATGTAAAACTCGAAAAAGTGGGCCGAGGTCACCAAAAGTCAATGACCTGACCTGACCTTCAGGTGACCTTAACATCCACTCTAATGCATGGAAGTAGCATCATATTACATGTTCGAACGTTTGAAACCACGAAAAGCTTGTAAACGCGCGGCTAGTGCGAGCCGACATACGCCGAATCGCGATTCCGGCCAAACATGGTCTCGGAAAGTAGGTCAAAGGTCAAAGGTCATTTGGGTCAGGGTCATGAAATTTTCAGGGTAGGTGTAAAATTGATCAAT